AGTCCGGGAGCCAGGACCCTGAAAAAATCGTGACGTAGCACACCCCTCACATATTTGGTCTGATACCATAAATCAAAAATAGGGTCCTTGTAGATCATTTTTAGACACGATGTACTAAAGTATCGGTGGGCCTTCATTGTGTTTGGGCCTGTTTTGTAAGTGACATTACGTACCCCTAAAATAATGTCCCACATAGAACCATATTGAATGAATGAGCATATCAACCTGAAAAACCGGTGAAATAAACTCAATCTCTTACAAAATGTCTCTAAAAAAACAACATTTTATTTCACTATGGTTTTGATAGGTTTGAAGTTGTCATAGCAACCGTTGCTATGGATATATGACTCTTGAAGATGCCATTGCATTTTTTTATTAAAATCGCACATATTTTCAAAATATTTCCATTAATTTTCAAATAATTTGGACATATAAACCTACCACAGACATCTTTGTTTAAATGCAACATAGCTTCGTGGTATTTTACAGATACATTTCACTTGCAATCTGTGGATTTCTGCCTCTAGCATGGAAATATTACTTGGTTCCCATAAGAACTCAATTACTGCCTGGACTGCGCACAGCACCTTCATGTTATAAACTGCATGCTATATGATAGTTATTGTGGAGACATACCGTCAAGTGAAATTTTTGCAGTGCTGTCGTTACCATGGAAACGAATTTCTATGATTTAACTGAATACGAAAAAGCATATATAACCTGTTTCTCTACAGAAAAAAACTATATTAATGCAAAGTTATTTGCGTCATTGTTACTTGCAATCACTTAGCATATTCGGATTGTATACATTGGAATATCATTCTCATACTCATTAATTATTCATGAGGTATCCAGCCAATCCCTGTTTGTAATTTGTACCACATGCAGCAACTGTAAACCAGAGGAAGTACTCCTGCCTTGTATTCTATCTTATTTCCAGTTACTCCTACCTTATTTCCAGTTACTTTTACATTGTATTAGAAATAATTAATTTAATATAGACAACTTCCAGAACAAACCTACATGTAGACTTATTAACCCTGCACAAACCCATGAGATCGGACGTATCAGCAAAGAAATCCTCGCGAACATTAACACGACTGTAAGACAGAAGACTGGCCTTAACCAATGGGAAAACTCATCATCCGTCATCAGCTGGTTCTCATCTATACAACACAAAGATCAACACACCTTTGCCGTATTGACATTGAAAACTTCTACCCCTCCATCAACGAGAAACTCCTTACAGATGCAATAAACTTCTCAAAACAATTCACTACCATTACAGACCGCGACATCGACATTATCATGTATTCACGGAAATCCCTCCTCTTCAACAACAATACTGCCTGGATTAAGAAAAACAACAGCTCACTTGACGTCGGCTATGGGCAGCTACGACGGAGTCGAAGTATGCGAGCTTGTAGACTTATTTATCTTCAACGACCTATGTAACACATACGGGAAAGAAAACATCGGACTTTGCAGAGACGACGGACTTGCCATCTATCAAAAGGTACTTACTGACCCTTCAGAAAGCCTAACAACGAACCACTGTATATCAACACAAAGTCTAACCCACCGCCTAACATAATAAAGCAACTCCCAGCATCCATCAGCCGCCACACTCAAATCATGCAACGAACACGAATTCAACAAAGGCCATACCAATCTACGAAACTGCTTTGAAAACCAGCAGATACTCTGAAACACTAATCTACAGCAAAGACAATCAACAAGCTCGCCCCCGACGCAACAGACAAAGGCACATTATATGGTACAACTCTCCTTTTAGTAAAAACGTAAAGACTATCATCGGCAGAGCATTCCTAGCTGAAGCTCATATCTCTTCAGCAAAGACAACGTTAAAGTCAGCTACAGCTGTATGTTCAACATGAAAACAGTAATCAACAAACACAATATGAAAAGAACAAACGCCGACAACAGCGCCAACGCAACCAGCGGAGAACTATGCACGACAAAAACAAGATGGACAATTATCAGCCGTGCAAGACCCTACAACAAAATATCCAAACAATGGGATCTCCGCCTTACAGAAAAACTAATGATTATTAAACACAGCAACGACAATCTACTAAACAATGAGATCAGGACTCATCTCTAAATGCCAACACGAAAAGAAATTCTACTTGGAGAACACTTAACACTTCCATAGCCTATTGTATTCACACCTACGCGGTTTAAAAAAATAATTATTATACTCTCCTTTGTAATTTTTTACCTTCACACCAGCATAACTATCACGTATTGTATGAATAGCCTAGCACTTAGCCTTTTGTTCTATATCATATATTATATTTAGATGATAGGAATGTTTATCATTAAACACTGTCTGATGAGTGCGTAGCACGAAACTCAGAGTAACAGAAAATCTTACCTCTTTGTTATTATATAATAAAAACTTGAAATTATGCGGTAATGTTTTTTGGCGAGCTCTCCAAGCTGCGGCAACCTCCAGATCTTAGCATTTGTATCATCATCGCCATGCCATCTAGGATACAAGATGTATATGGTTGGCTCTCGTGAAGGCGTCCTACTGCAGGACTGATTTTTTCAAAGTCTTCGAGATGTTTTAGATCTATTTTTTTCAATGACCCATCTGCGTAAGCCAAAGAAAATGGTACACAAGAAAGCTTGTGTTTAAACAAATCTCTCAGGTTGACATCATGATATCTGGCTGCATCAAGAAGTCTTCCAAAGAAGCTGTGGTCAGCCACATACATCTTGTATCCTAGATGGCATCCACGATGATCCAAATGCTAAGATCTGGAGGTTGCCGCACATTTGGAGAGCTCGCCGAAAAACATAACCGCATAATTTCAAGCAATTTCAACTGTACCTGCACCAGAGTGGATATTGTCTTCGACAAAGAATATGTTAGACTGTCGATAAAAGATGATAAAAGAGTGAAACGTGGTGAAGCAATGCTTTAGTAATAAAGAA